CCCTCCCCCGACGGCAGCAGTTCTCTGGGAAAGGATGCAGAATTGGAAAAAAAAACTCGAAGAAAAGTCGTAAGTTGGGAAAATTGAGGAAGGTGGTAGTTAGGATGGGGATGAGGAAGGTGGGTCGTACCAGGGAAGGACATTCTAAGAGGGATAGTACTCCGCAGATATTCTCCTCAGTGGTAGGACGTGTCCTGATGTGCGGCATCGCCCGCAGGCTAGCAGACTCGGGACTCGTCGCGACAAAGTCGCCACGTTGGACTGATTTGGGTTCAGGTGCGTGTGCTGCTCGTGTAACCCTGCTTGCAACGCACCGTGGCGCGAGGCTAATGATGTATACCCGGATTCCTCGCACTGTGCCGTATATACAATAAGCCGTAACGTCCTGTCCGCTGCGGATGTTGGGGTGCATCAGGTGGGATAGACTTCACCAGCAGCAGCCCACCCTTCACCAATAGTTGTTGTTTGCCCGGCGTCAACAATTGATGGTAACTGGCTAGAGCTGCGCCATACCCCGCCTCCCTGACACGCCCCTTCCTCTGCAGCGAACAGGACCATAGTTTGTATGTGGCAAAAAAACAAATAAATGTCAATGAAAATCTCAATTTCAGATTCCTCTACTTCCAACCTCCGACATTCCTCTGCTGAAGCCAGCGATAAACACCAACGGATCGTTGTTGTTGCCTGGCATACCTTCGGCATTCCTGCCACCTTCTCCTCTCAACCCCTCACTACTTCCTCTCTCCTCTCTACTCTGTGGTGGACTCATACCGAATACCTCAAGCGACTTCCTGGTTTCAAACTTTCTCAGTGCACTATCACCATTTGAGATTCAATTGCTGTTGACTAGTTTCCGCTCTAGTAGTGGTACCGGTGCTTGTTTGAATTTTGATATAGAAGCATTATTGAGATAGTGGAAGAGGTACAAGACAGCGATTTCAATTGATGTTAACATAGGTGATTTACGGGTCTTTGTCAGAGCTAAATGAATAAATAATGATGTAAAGTTTCAAGCTAATTCGTACACAGTAGAAAAGGAGACAAAAGATGAGTGAAGGATAGGGAGCTACAGACGAAATGGGGAAATTGGGATATCTTTCCTAGAGCGACATCATTCAAAGCTATCGTTGGCAGAAACGGCGTGTGCTGTCGACACCAGGACCCGCTGTTGTGAAAGTACCGGATGAGGGCCACATGTGGGTCGCTGAGTACCATAAGTTTCATCTGGCTTGCTGAAAGGGGTTCCTGGATGAGAGAGGAGAGAGCCCAGTGAGAACGAAATCCTAACTTCAAAATCAAAAGGGCGCCAATTTTGACTTCGAGGTCAATTTGGAAGGTCCTTTCAAAGGTAGCGGCGAGGGATCAGGGTACAGCATCACGATGTGTGAAATGGCGGTGGCAGTACGACACGGGTACGTGAAAGAGAATCGTAATTCGCCGCGCTCACAGGGGTCGCGTGCGACGTCGCGCCCACAAATGACGATGGTTTCAGGTCGTGGGCTACAACAGGCAATGTAGAGTCGAAGATATCATAAATGTCTACACTTTCGTAGCCCACATGAAATCCGGTGGAAACGCCGCGCCCGGCGGAGCGGCAGTCTACGGTTCTCTTGCACGTCTCCCGTACGACACCCCTTCCTTCAGTCACCTCTTGTAGTACTAACCTCTTTCCTATACCACCTACTACCTTCCCCTCCTATTACTCCTCCTAACTTTCCAGTTTTTCCCCCACACAAATTACTACCGTCGAGCATGGCCAAGGAGACCTCGCCGCCAATCCACAGCAAATCTGAACTGTCACAGGTAGTCGTTGACCGGTAGTTCTGGTAACTAACGGGGGGGGGGGTGTAAAGCGAGCATGAAACGGGATAATCGAGAAAAGTCGTCAGCCCAAAAAATTTCCCCGGATATCTGACGGTTTGACTATGCGCAAACTGGCATAAATGACTTTCATTGTCTTGAATATACTTAAATCAAAAAACGCGTCTTTATCGAGGCTATGGCCACAACAGCAAAATTATTTTTCCATGAAAGTGAAACAATTGCACATTCAATTCAAAACAACACGACGAAAACTCATTATGACAATCACAAAAGAATCCCGTACAAGTAGCTCATTTTGAGAATAAATAAAAAAATTAAACGGTACATACAAATGCAAGGAACGTTGGTACGCCTACAGGACGATAGGAAGAAAACTACTAGATTCCCTGGCGCGTGATCGGCTCTGAACAAAGAGCACGTAAGGATCAACGTGCTCAGCGACGCAACCGCTCGCTTCGCTAACTGTCGAATCTTCGCTTGCAAACCACAACTCGTATCCCTGAGATGGAGGGGGCGGCTGCGCTTCGTTTAGGCATGGTGACGCTTTTTTTCAAAGGAATAACAGTGAGATCACTGTCACCTTATTCTGTGCCTAATAAAACATGGTCACAGTTGTCTCAAAACGGCAATGTCACATTAGAAGCGCAGACGGCGCCACGTTCAACAAAGTACGCAGACACGCCCTCACCATCTCCGGGATATGACGTGCAGATGTCTAGATCATTCTCGAATCTATATCACTCAAATACTTCATATAAGTCTCCCTATGAATAATATTGGTGCTGGCGATAAGAATTCTGAAGTTATTCTGCACAGCCAGCAGCCGTAGCGCGGCTACTTCTGCATAAGTGACGCCTCCTAAGAAGAAGACTAGGATCGCTTTCCTCATACGATTGTCCGGACGACGATCTGCTGGAATATAACTGTTCTCTTCGACGAGTACTCGTCCAAAAGTCTTCTTCAATTCATTTGTATTCCAACCGTGTACCATTGCGTTGGCGACAACTTGACAAAACGGCGGTGTGAATGCACCGGAGAAGACATAACTCATCGTAGACGGGTTGCGTAGGTCTATCGCGGTATCTTCCGATGTGGGAACCAGATTCAGTCTCTTGATTAGAAACGGTAGGGTCGGTAGGGAATCACCGGGCGAAGGAGAAGGAGGTGCGGGCGGACCTGCACCACCCACGATTGGACGAGGTTTCTCGATGAGAAGACGTTTTGAAGTGAGACTGTGCAGTATCGGAAGGTACTCGTACCCATATGTCCTGAGGAAGTGTTCACGGAAGGACTGGAAATGCTTTGCAGAAAAGCCATTCTGAGCCAGAGACGCTAGACATGCCAGAGACAGTACCTGCCAGGACGGGAGTTCACGCAGCATGCAATCCTCGAGGTATGAAATTACATCAGCGATGTTGGCTGTGCCAGCGACCAGCTCATGCTCAAATCGAAGACGTTCACTGGCTCCTGCAGCTCCATTTTTCTCCAGTAACACTTCACAAGCACAGATATGCATTTCTAACTGACGATGTTGAAGTTTCAACGACTTCAGTTCGTGTGCGACAAACTGCTTCATATCCCTGACTTGATCTATGGAGGCGCCTTTGTTAAAATCCGACTGGATCTCCTTGGCCTTCGAGCTGAGGAACGGGAATACCCCCGTCATGTGCTTATTTCGTATTGACGAAAACACTCCATCATTATTATCAAGCACGTAAACTTTCGATTTTTTCACCGCTTCGCCTTGCTCGATCTCGGGTCGCATTTTTCTCCTCCACTTCTGGCCCGAAGGAAATTTTGCCGCAGCCGATCGTGAACACCTCGTGAAGCATTGCCTCATAGGTAAGACCAGTCATAAGCACTGTAGCCTGGTCCAACGATCGATCGAACATGAACAGATGACTGATTGGTTGGTCCGGTGACGATCGTGGTTCTCCTCGTTCCATATAGACGTGATGCATCAGTTTCCACAACTTCTCCGTCTGCTCTCCCAGACCGTAGACTGTTGGTATTAGACCGTATAGGGACTGCAGCTGAAACAGGGCATTGGCAGATGCTAACAGGTCCTTGTGAGCGGTCGTGATAGGCATTTCCATCGAGAACAGGTCATTTTCAATAGATATAAAAGAGATACTCAATTCAAACGACTCAATCAGCCCGTACACTCCTTGTCGTTCAAGTTCACGTTCGCATACAACCAAACGTCGATCTACCCAAATCACAGCGATATGCTTATCAGGCGACGCGCGTACATGCTCAGCTAATAAGCGAGCTATGTCTAAAGAACTACGAAGGAGATATACACGGCGCATTACATTTGGATGCCACGGGATGGCATTAGGTGAGTTGAGTCGAAGCGGAATTACTCGCTGACAGCCATGTTTTTGCAGTAAACTCATTGATGCAATACGATCTAGAGGGCGGAGCAGAGTGGCGTCGACGACCAAGTCCTTCATTCCGGGCAGTGACTCGAGCAGATGGACCAATTCTCGTCGAATCACCTCGCATAGTAGTCCCAGTGGTTGTTCGCACAAGTCCGTCATCACGCTGAAAATCGTAACATCAATAAAATCATTGCAAGCACTGTGACAAAAGGATTGTTTGTCTACCTTTCATAGAAAAGTTACTAAACAAGGATAGGCTCTGCTTGGCTTGGGAGGGGCACATTCCGCTAGTTTTTTCTACCAGTTTCTACCAAACCTGGGGGTGAGGACTTGCAGCCAGGGCACGCCCCCGATGTGATTCCTGCAAAATACGACCCCTCCCCAACCTACCTACCACTTACCTAGATATTCCAGTATTTCCAACCGTAAAATTTCCGTCGAGCGGGGAGGGGG